TTGTTACATGTAAAATCATGAAAATATATTTGAGATCATAATTGAGCACCTATTTTACATCATTGAGAACTATTGTACAATTTGTTAAGGATGAAATACAGCAAGAACATTTGTCTTATAACATTAGAGTCCACATCCAGAAACATTATGTGTATCATAGAAAAAATAATGCAGTGGATTTTGTTTTTTTTTAAGTCTTGAAAAATAGATAATTTTCATATAGGAAGCATGTCATGTGATTTATAACACATTAAAAGATAGCTTATAAATTCATTTTAATATTCTCACATAATAGTGCTCAAATTTAAAACTTTTGCTATCTTAAACTTTCCATGTCTTTTCTGATCTTTTATTTAATGCAAACATTTTTATAACATATGTGCACATATTTAAAGAAAGTACTTTGGGGCGCCAGGGTGGCTCAGGAGTTAAGCATCTGCCTTTGGCTCAAGTCATGATCTCAGAGTTTTGGGGTTGAACCCTGCCTCAGGTTCCCTGCTCAGTGGAGAGCCTGCTTCTCCCTTTCCCTCTGCCTGTCGCTCTGCCTACTTGTGCTCTCTCTCTCTCTGTCAAATAAATAAATAAATAAAAATCTTCTAAAAAATAAGATAAAGTATATTAGCATATATATAATAACTTACAATAATAATTTTATGAATGTCACCTAATAAATGAAACCTCTGTTCTAAAGAACTCTTAAATGATATTTAAGTATCAAGAAGCTTATTGGGGATTTGCATAAGCAAATAGATAACAAACTACATATGTCTATTTGTAAGAAATACCTAAAAATTAAAGGAAGTGATGTAAAGAATTGGTTGGTGGGTGGGGGGAGTCTAAGTTGAATTTAAAGAACTAGATCAGGGGCGCCTGGGTGGCTCAGTGGGTTAAAGCCTCTGCCTTTGGCTCAGGTCGTGATCCCAGGGTCCTGGGATCGAGCCCCGCATCGGGCTCTCTGCTCCGAGGGGAGCCTGCTTCCTCCTCTCTCTCTGCCTGCCTCTCTGCCTGCTTGTGATCTCTGTCAGATAAATAAATAAAACCTTTAAAAAAATAAAAAAAAAAAATAAAGAACTAGATCAGATTGAATATGGGTTAATTAGGGTTAATTCTTCCTTTCCTATAGACTGTCTGGGGGACATAGTTCCTATTATATTTTAAATTTTCATACATTTTATTGGCTTGCGGATTGAGCTGTTATTAAAATAATGTTTCACTTCTAAACGTGATTTTGAAAGGTTTGTAGCAATGTACTATGTCTGATTTCTTTAGAGAAATAATAATATAATAATAGTAAGGTGAAGAAATAAAGTTATTCTTTTAGGACTGCATCTTTAAGGATAAGATATTGAGATTCAAAAATACATACATTTCAATAACACAGTTGGATTTGATCTTAACAATTGCTACCATAATATTTTCTAGTTACTCAAAAGATATTGCTATTGTTCAAAATTATTTCAGAGCTCTTCTTTTGGAGTTGCCTTTATAACCAAGTTATGAACCACATAAAATTTTTTCTTTTTTTTTTAAAGATTTTTATTAATTTATTTGATAGAGCACAAGCAGGCAGAGCGGCAGACAGAGGGACAGCCAGAGAGAGAAGAGAAGCAGACTCTTTGCTGAGCAGGGAGCCTGATGCGGGGCTCAATTCCAGGACCCTGGGATCATGGCCCAAGCCGAAGGCAGATGATCAACCAACTGAGCCACCCAGGTGCCCCTCACATTTAAAAAAAAAAAAAAAAAACTAATATGTTACAGTTGCATCTTGTTCTTAACCTAAATGCCATCGCCCACCTTGATTATTTATATTGTTTATCAAAAGGGACCCCAAATATCCTTTTACAGCCTCCCAAAATAAAATTCATTCTTGAAATATATTTAAAAGAATGGGACACAGTTCCAAAGGTAATTGAAAAGTAGTTTTGAAATACTTAAAATTCTGCTCGTGAGAATAAATGTGTAACTTCACAGAGTAACTGTTTTATAAAGGAAATAGATTATTTGGGTTTATAAGTTACGGTATGTTTGTGCAGCCATGTTTTTATTCATTTGTTTACTTAAGAATGTACTACCGTAATAGTATGAAAAACTATTCTTAGTATCAAGGAGACATTTAAAATGTTTCCCTTTATGTTAAGTTGGGTTTTTTTGTGTTTTTTGGTTTGTCTTTGTTTTTGTTTTGCTTGATTGAATATTCATTTGGCTTTTCAGCAGCAGGTAAATCCCTACTTTAGAGGCCTCTCTCTGGTCTTTAATTGTTAATCCCAGTAGAAGCTTTACTCTTTGCGAATCAGTTCTGGACACCACATTCTGTAAACTATGGATCTATAGCCAAAGATTAAATTGATTTTCACATTTTTATGACACAAATAAGACCACATCTGTTTGGTTTGCTGGTTTATGGCTGTCATAATATCCAGTATATAATAGGAGTTCAGTTACTATCTGCTGAGGGGATGTCAGATATCAGACACCTTGTCATTTTTACACCTTCTAAAAATGTTATTTGAAAGACATGTTCAACTTTGGTGAGACAAGAGAAAAGCGTACTTAACAAAAGCAATCTTTAGAGAAGGGATTGCAGGGATGCTTATTCATAGAACATGTAAATCTCTTGTTCTACTTTAGCCACTGTTTCCCCAGGGCCATCTCAAAGCAGCAATTTAAATTCATTTCTGCAATTTTATCAACACTTTATTAAACACCTACTATAAGCCGAAGAGTGACCTAGGGACTGGGAAAATAGTTATAAACAAAGTAGAGGTCCCATGGAGTTTGCATTTTAATGGGGGCGAATGATGATTCTTGAAGATACTATAATGTATTTTTAAGCATTGTTTCTGATGATTGATAAAATGTGAGTAATGATCCCAGTGTACTGAGGTCTCGCTGGTATAATTTGGTGAGCTCCATAAACTGTATCACAAAAAAGAGTGCTGCTTACTCAGTTTGGGCAAATATAGACAATCTGGATGACTAAACACCTATGTTGTTTTACCAGTGTTGTAATGGTTTGCTTAAGATGAATGGTTGACCACCTTGAACTTCCCAGGAGTTAACAAATAATATCTTCATTGGGAAATCATTCTTGGATGACATATGCTTTTAGAAAATAACACATGTGAAATGTTAGTATAGGAACACTTATTTTTGGTATAATCTTTGATAAAGACTACAGGCTTTGGGCTTTTTATAACTTAGCATTGGCCACATACTAAAAGAGTGATGCACACAGCATCACCTGAGTCCTTAACTTAGAATCCATCTCCATGAGGCTGCCTCTAGATATTTTAATGTGCATTTAAACCACAGAAATAAAAACTGGGTGAATACTTGTATTCATGCACTCATGAATGAGTTTCTCTAAAAACATAAAAAATACGCCTCGTACTAAGAAGGTATTTGAAAAAAATTAGAAGACCTTTTGTTTGGTACATATTCACTTAGCTTTTACAGTCAGTAGTACCAACAGTAGGTAGAATCCTGCCTTGGAGTTGCTCCTAGCATGACCTCGCATGACTCTCTTTCTTAAAAATTATCACACTGCCAATCACTACCCATAAATCTCGAGAGGGCAAAGACTGTGTTTTATCTGTATACCTCTTCCAGTCCCTACAGCCACCCCAAAACATACATGATGCATCATGCTTAGAGTACCTGTATGTTTTACTAATTGGCTTTGGTTAGGATCCCTGAAGAGCCTGCTTCCTTGCTTTATATTGCTAAAGATTTCCCTTGAGGAGCATCCCTGAGAAACTGAGGTTGCCCTGGCAGCCAGCATTTGCTTTTTTTCTAAATTCCTTTTGATAGCCATGATCTTATGAAAGAGCTCCTATGAACTGATCTCTAAGAGACTTTGAATACTTATGTTGCGAACGTGGGCCTCATCCTTTGCTGGTCTGCCTACTCTGCTTGCCACTTTTCTATCAGCAGTTGGTGGCATTCAGCAGCAGCTGCCTTATCTTTATCTTGCTTTTCACTTGAAGATTTGGGAGCTAAGCCAGGTCTTGAGATTGTTCCCTTCTGCTCCTTCTTGTGGTCTTATTTGAAATCCTTTCACATATTTGAGGGGTACCCAGACAGGAAGGACCAAAAAAAAAAATGACAGTTTCTCCCACTCCCCAGTATAAGTCCGATTTTAGGCCTGCCTTTGTAATTGCTAGTATTTCATCAGTTGTTCTTTTTGTATTGAAATGTAAAAATATTCTAGCTTTGTTTTCTAAAAATAGCTTCTAAGAAGTAGTTGAAACATGGATGTAAAATATAGTCAGTTGGAAAAAAAAAAGAGATACTACTGGGATCGGGGGGTAAGGGCATTCATTCATTCATTCATTCATTCAAAAACTGTTGAACATCTACTGTTTGTTTGGATCTGTGAGGCATGCAAAGATGAACAAAACATAATTGCACTCCCTTAAAACATGCAATCTAGGTGGAAAAATTGGAATTTTGCCCTGTACCAGCAGGTATCTGAACTCCACTCAGATTTTTAGACCCCTACTATGCTAGGTTTCTGATGGAAAAGTGTTATTCTTTCTTCCCTTGGAGAAGTATTTTGAAAGACTAATATGGTCTCGCTTCCCCAAAGATGAAGGACATTGAAATGGAGGACAGAGGCAGAGATTTCTCTAGACATCAGGCATCCCTGGCAGTTCCAGTCTACCTGCTGCTTCCAAATATAACCCTGCTTGGAAACCCCTCCTCTTGTAGGTTCCTCTGCGTAAGACCCAAACTTCTTAGGTCATGAAAAACAAAAGAATAAAAAATTTTATGTGACTAAAGACCGGTTTTATACCAGCACCATTTCACTCAATTCTTACCCCAATGAGATGAGACAGATATTTTGCTGGTGAAAAATCTGGGTACCGAACGCCCAAGCCAAGTCAGGATTCAAAACCAAGTCTGTGCGACTTCAAAGCCAGACATGCTTTAAATGTTACAACTTTGTGGCATCCTGCTTAGAGGTCCTTCTCTGAAGATGGTGTCTTTTCTTGCCAGTGATGGCCCTGTGGGCCTTTCTGGGTAGTTCTCATGGGTTCCTCTCTTGTCTGGGTTATTCCCTTGCTTCCTTGAACAATTCCTTAGAGATTGGACAGCACAGTGTTACTGTGCCAGCATCATCTCCAGAACCCTCTAGTGCTGCCAGCTATTCCCTAGGCCTCTCCCAAGAGACTTCCTCAGGGACAGACCCCCTCAACTTGGACCCTCCTGGCTTTAGGGCATACAGCCAGAATCTATCACCATTGTCCCAGACCACTGAAGGATGTGGCAAGAATCTCATAGTCCTCATAATTCCCATCCTTCCTATGCCTGGTATAGAACTAAATCTGGTGGTGACTCAGTCAGTGTTGAGTCAATGGTAGAGACATGATCCAAAGACATCTATTGTCTAGCACCCAAGGCAGTGCTCACAATCATTCTGCCATTCAGCCTCTGGAGTGTCCTTTGTCCCATATGAAGAAGCTTTAGAACCTGTGCTTTTGAGTCATTGTGTCTACTTTTTATAGTTTTACTATCTTCTCTGTTGCCTTTTACTGCTATCCAAGTGAGTGCACAGCTCACTTAACCTTCTGCTAAGTTTGCTGCTTTTAATCTGTCATGGAATGGATACTTTTTCACATTTTATCTAAAATGAGAAATGACAAGACGCCTAGGGAAGGATTCCTGTGCATTCACCTAAGTTTCTGAATCTATCAAATTAATTGTTGCCTCTTCTGAGAAATTTTTTTGCTTCCTCCTTGACATAGCTATGTCATGTTATTCGTGTTGCTGTATCCTTGGAGTAAGTATTAAAGGATATTTTCTTTTCCCTTTGTTCCTACAGAGTATAGGCAAGGTATAAGCATGTAATTTTCTTCAATTTCTTTCTTATTTAGCCATTTTTCAGCCAAAGAGGTTTCTGCTAATACACAGAAATCCTTTTTCAAGAAAAGGATGATCAAATCAGTGTGGAGCGATATGTGATATTTGATGTGATTCATTAATTGCTATAATCATAAAACTCCTGGAAGTGTAAAACAGTGAGAATATTAGATATTATTTTGTCTGGTCATTTTGTTTTCAGATCAGGAAACTATAGTAGACTGTGAAAATTAAGGGCTATGTTCAAGGTCCCAGAGATAGTGGGCCTAGAGCCAGGATAAAACCCCAACCTCTGGTTCTTAGTTCATTGCTTCTCCCTCTCTCTACTCCTATTTCTTCTTCCTAGAATCGGGTGTATCTACTAAATGACTGTAGATTTTATATTTACCTTAGGAGTATGGTAGTTACTATCCTATGGGTTAGTGTCTTGCAGAGAATAAAGCAGCAAAGTAGGAAGTGTATGAATTTAGAAACCAGGTAGACAATGACCAAATACAAGTTCTGTCATTTTGTGGCTGTGATATTGGATAAGCTACTTAATCCCTCTAAATGTTAGTTTTCTCATCTGCAAAATGGAGATTATACTAATAACCATGGAGTGAGAGTTAAGTGAATTGATTACTATATGGTGCTGAGAACAGTGCTGGACCCCTAGTAGGTGTCCAGTAAGAGAAATGTACAACAATTATCAGATGTCTTCTTCTCCTTTATCTAAAAAAAGTACCTTTTTTCCTTTTATGCTTAAAATAATAACTTTTTGTTATATGGCAATTATTGTAGGTTTTTGATAAGTCCTACAAATGAATAAGTTTATAAATAGGTTTAAAGTGTGCATTTGATTTTCATAGTTTGTTTTTTAATGCAGGTCTGAGTCTCTGCTGGGAGTTGCAAAGAAGTAAGTATATTTACAAAGGCATTTAAGTGTCACAGACCAACATTTCTCAAAGCCTGATCTTAGATCACTTGCATAAGAACCACTCGAGGGGGTGGGCTTTAAAAAGGGAAGATTCCCAAGCTCTACAATAGACTGATGAATGTGAATCTCTAATGATGAAACGGCCCAGGAATCTCTATTTTAGAACAAACTCAAGGTATGATTTTCATACATTCTAATTGTTGAGAACCACTACTGTGGATAGATCAGGTTTTTTTAGATTATTTATTTGAGAGAGTGTGTGTGTGTGAGCATGTGTGTGCGTGTGTGTGCGTGCACACGTGTGTGCACATGCACACACGCGAGTAGGGAGAGGAAGAGATTCCCAAGCAAACTCCACCCTAGGCACAGAACCCATTTGGGGCTTGATCCCACTACCCCAAGATCATAACCTAAACTGAAACCAAGAGTCCAAACCCAACCAACTGAGCCACCCAGGTGTCCCTAGATGAATTATTCTAAATGCCAGATTACTCAGCTTAAAATATTATTTTCATTATTCTATGTCCTTGTTTAAATAATCTTTAGTACTCGCTAATTTCCAGTTTGGCAAGCAGGGTCATTCACTGTCAGGTTGTGTGAACTTCCCTATTTAGTCTTGTGACAGGCTGGAAAATGTCTTCCAAAAGATGTACATGTGCTAATATCCAGAATCTGGATATAGGGTTCCTTAGTCTGTGGCAAAGGAATTTTGTAGATGTGCTTAAATTAAGGATTGTGTGATGGACATTATCCTGGCTATTGAGGTGAGCCCATGTAAGCCTGATGGTCTGTATAAGAAGAGCAGGAGGATCAGATAGTATGTGAAGATAGAAGCAGGAGACTGGAGTGATGGCAGGAAGGGGGTCCTGAGCCAAGGAAGGCATGTAACTTCTAGTAGCTGAGAGGGGAAAGGAAAAAAATCCCACCCCCCAGTCTCCAGAAGGAACCAGTCCTGCTGACACCTTGACTTTAGCCCAGTGAGAGTGATTTTGGAATTCCGATCTCTAGAACCATAAGATACTAGATTTGTGCTGTTTTAATCCAACATACTTAACAGTAATTTGTTGCAGCAGCAATAGAAAACTAGTACCTTGGTTTTTCTCCAACCACCTGTCTTTTCTGGTCCTGAGCTCCTCTCTCACTGGTTCTTGCATGCTCCCTGAATCTGGTCTTAGCTTATGCTTTCTTATCTCTGAGCTGTGCTCAGTTTCTACCTACCAGACAGGCTCTTTTTTTTTTTTTTAATTTTATTTTTAAATTTTATTTTTTATAAACATATAATATATTTTTATTCCCAGGGGTACAGGTCTGTGAATCGCCAGGTTTACACACTTCACAGCACTCACCATAGCACATACCCTCCCCAATGTCCATAATCCCACCCCCCCTCTCCCAACCCCCCTCCCCCCATCAACCCTCAGTTTGTTTTGTGAGATTAAGAGTCACTTATGGTTTGTCTCCCTCCCAATCCCATCTTGTTTCATTTACTCTTCTCCTACCCCCTTAACCCCCCATGTTGCATCTCCTCTCCCTCATATCAGGGAGATCATATGATAGTTGTCCTTCTCCGACTGACTTATTTCGCTAAGCATGATACCTTCTAGTTCCATCCACGTCGTCGCAAATGGCAAGATTTCATTTATTTTGATGGCTGCATAGTATTCCATTGTGTATATATACCACATCTTCTTTATCCATTCGTCTGTTGATGGACATCTAGGTTCTTTCCATAATTTGGCTATTGTAGACATTGCTGCTATAAACATTCGGGTGCACGTGCCCCTTCGGATCACTACGTTCGTATCTTTAGGGTAAATACCCAGCAGTGCAATTGCTGGGTCATAGGGTAGTTCTATTTTCAACATTTTGAGGAACCTCCATGCTGTTTTCCAGAGTGGTTGCACCAGCTTGCATTCCCACCAACAGTGTAGGAGGGTTCCCCTTTCTCCGCATGCTCGCCAGCATCTGTCATTTCCTGACTTGTTAATTTTAGCCATTCTGACTGGTGTGAGGTGATATCTCATTGTGGTTTTGATTTGTATTTCCCTGATGCCGAGTGATGTGGAGCACTTTTTCATGTGTCTGTTGGCCATCTGGATGTCTTCTTTGCAGAAATGAAGACAGGCTCTTTTTGTTGTTGTTCTCCTTCTGTCTGTCAGGAGGGAGTGATTTCCCCTTCTCTGATGTTCTAAGGCAACCAGGACCTGTGCAATGTATTGTACATACAGTAATGGAAACCGCCATCCAGGAATGGGTAAGCACAAAATCTCTCAAATCAGAACTCCTAAATTTAGATCCTGATTCTACCACAACAGCCTTAGAGAAGTTTCTTAACTCCCCCTAGTCTCAGTGTCTTCGTTTCTGTCAACCTCCTCAGCTCATGAAGTCTAGAGATGCTTCACATGAAAGTGAATTGCATGGTGGATCATTCAAAGTAAGGACTGGATATATGTTGGTGATTATATGAATTGTCGTTCAGCATATCTCTGATTATTATCTTTTTTTTAAAAAAAAGATGTTATTTATTTATTAGAGAGAGAGAGAATGAGCAGAGGGGAGGAGCAGGAGAGAAAGAGAGGCAGACTCCCTGCTGAGGAGGGAACCTGATGTGGGGCTCGAACCCAGGACCCTGAGATCATGACCTGAGCTGAAGACAGATGCTTAACCAACTGAGCCACCCAGGCACCCCTGATTATTCTCTTGCAGAGCTCTTCAACCGTATTGCTTACATTTGTGTTTTTGTTTCCCTGTCTGTTAACTCCATAAACAGAAGCATGATAATAATTATAACAACAAATAACAATAATAATACTAGTGAAGTGATATAATGAAAGGAGCACGATTTTGGAAGACATTGTTTCAGTTTTAGCTTCACAATTTACTGGCTGTCTTAATAGAAAAGAAATTGAGTTTTCTTCATCTGTAGAATGTGAATAATAATAGTCTTTCCCTCTTAGAACTGATTTCAGGATTAAGTAGAATGACCAGTTTAAATCTTAGCACCCAGAACATGATGAGAGTTGAGTACATGTTAACCATTGCTAATGGCAATTTTTACTTGTCTTTATTCTGTAATTAATCTTGATATTCCTGTTACTTTATATATGACAAAAATATGAGAAATGAGGGGAAGAAAATTTGGTATGTGTCTAATATATTATGCTTTGTTATCAGATGTGTTACAGACTATGAGTCCCATAGGCCTTTAGGGCTTACTGTTGGATTAATGCTCAAACTACAAAAATATGCAGGACACACATAAAACTTGGCTGCTTCCCTCTCTGCCTCCTTCTTTCCCTCTCTCCCTTTCTTCCTTCCTTCCTCTCTTTCATCTCAGGTGATTGGATGAATAGTTTGGTATTTTAAATACTTTGAATACATTAGATTTTGGAACCGTTTTTGCAAAAAAAAAAAAAATCTGTGATTCAATACATTGCCATTCATCATTACCTTCCCTTTACAACCCTTCATGCTATTTTAGTGCAGACGAGAACTTGCCTATCCCAGCTAATTTGAATTCATTTTTCAAATGAGAGTTCATAAGTGACTATGCTAAAATTAAGGTCTATTACATTTTCTGCACTTCCTTTGTCTGCTAATGTTATAATATGGTTTTTAAGTAATTGGGTTTCTTTTGACATGATTTCTTATTTAGAAACTCTGGCTTATTTGCAAGTCTTTTATCTATACATGTTTATATATTTTATATAGATATTTTCTTCCTGGTTGCCATGTAATTATTTTAGAGAGACTTGGAATTACTTGTTTTTATTTAAGCCATATAAAATACCTGTATATCCCTAAAAAAATATGAATCCAAGAATGCTAGGAAAATTGGTAGTAAATGTTTTTTGTCATTAAAAGCAAGATGGGAGGGGCGCCTGGGTGGCTCAGTCGGTTAAGTGTATGCCTTCAGCTCAGGTCAGGATCCCACGGTCCTGGGATGGATCCCCGCATCGGGCTCCCTGCTCAGTAGGGAGCCTGCTTCTCCCTCTCCCTCTGCTGCTCTGCCTGCTTGTGCTCTCTCTCTCTCTCTGTCAAATAAATAAATAAAATCTTTAAAAAAGAGAAAAGCAAGAAGGGAAAATGAAACTAATTCATATACAGAAAAAATAAGTATATTTAAATGTACTAAATAGATGGCTTAGACCTCATACGTTGTCATTTATTATTTTTAAAGCAAGGAAAGATTACCTCCTCTTCTTACTCCTTTGGCCACTTTTATTCAAAAGCTTAATTTTGTAATTTAGGAGATCAGATTTAAAAGGCAACTGGGAATTTCCCTCATGACCTGTGGGATAGTCTAGTCTTTGTGTACTCTTCCTGCACTTCCTAGACTACACAACATCAGAGTGGTTACAGTCTCTCCCTGGAAACCTTTCTTAGTGACCCAGTGCCTTGGAAATTTGTTCATTTTGTCCTAAGGAGACATTCTGACTCTAGTCTTACACACACACACACACACACACACACACACACACAAGTTAATTTAAAATGAGAAATAGAGACTTCATCTGACAAAACAGAAAATGTTTGCCCCGTTGAGAGATTTATGGCCCCATGTTCCCCTTGGCCACACTGCTTGAGTGCCATCACTGAGAAGTGAGAGGCAGTGCTGAACGAAAACCATACTACTTTACAGACTTGGTGAGAGTAATTTTACTCATGAATAAGCAACAGCTCATGCTTGTGCAAAATGTCCATCTGTGCCCTCTCACTGTGGCTCTCCCTCATTAAAAAGAGGCATTGGAAGCCAAATAGAAAATATAGTGTTTAATTTACCATAGATTTCAGAGCAGAAATACGAGTTTTGTTTTACCTTATAACGTGATTATATTTAACAAATTTAAACAACTCAATATAATCCTAATGTGTTAATTCATCCATTATGAAAGTAACCACTTATCTTAAAGAATATGTTAAAATTGGTTTCTTAAATACTAAAATAAGGATGAATTTTTACTTAAAAAAATTTCCCTACTTTTCCCCTAGACATAATTTGTTTTTAAAAAAGTCATCTAACAGAGGGGTACCTGAGTGGCAGAGGTTTGGTTTCTGCTTAGATCCTTGATCTTGGGGTCATGGGATGGAGCCCCACATCTAGCTCCATGCTCAACTCAGTCTGCTTGGGATTCTCTTCCTCCTTCTCCCTCTGTTCCTACCCCTCCCCCCACATGTTCTCTCTCTCAAATAAATAAACAAATATCTTTAAAAATCATCCAACAGAGGAACCATGATATCTTCTCAAAGGGTCTTTTTAATATAATATCAAATTATATTGTAATCTAGTTGGTGACAAAATAACACTGAGTTATAGTCAACTCAATATATAAGTATATATTCCAAAAATATATAAATTCAATATATTTAATGAAGTTCAGGTAGCAGTCATTTTTTTCTATGTTTCCCAAAACTGAATTGATCATACTGATTGCTGGTTTGGGGGGGGCAGATTTCACTGATTAATTTAAAAGTAGTATATATGGTGGGCTTGACTTTTCTTTAATAAGTGTGGGAGGAAAAATTAATTTCTATAAGAATCATTCTTAATTACCAAAGATAGTATAACCTATTTATCTTTATTCTTAGCAGGAAGCCCATTTATATTAGTATATTTGAATTTTACAGTGAAAACAATTCATAAAATTAGATATAATTTATCAGATATTTTATTATGTAACAAAAATGAATATATCATTGTCATCTCTTAGTACAGTTTCCAAAAATGCCCTATTTCCTAAGTAATTTGTATGCAGAATGCATAGATCTATTGTATATAAAAGGTTTCATCTCACATAATCTAAAAAAAATAAGAAATTTGATAAATAATTTTTTTAACTTAATAACATGATCCCTTAAATTTATCAGAGAAAAGGTAATTTACAAACTCCGGATAAATCTGGTTTTCCATATTGTCACTTTCTCACAACAAATTACTTGTTTTCATAAATTTCACTGTTAAAAATAAACAGGGCATCTTTTAAAATTCTTGTCAAAAGGTGACTGGCCAGTGCAGGGGTTGCAAATAAGGGGAGGTGACAGGGTGATTAGAAAGCAGTGTGGTGGGCAGCGGCTGAGCAGCAGTGATCCTGAGCCAGCACGACTATCCTCTCTTAAGGAACGTGGTTTTGTGTTTCTGACCTGTGCTGCCAGCTTCATAATGGTAGCTCATCTAATCATCAGCGTTTCCAAGGCCCGAAAGAAGTACCAAGTGAAGTATCCTACCATGTACAGCATGGACCCGAAAACGGGCACCTTTTCAACCACGTTCAGCGCGCCCACCAGGACACATTGAAAGTGTAACCACCCTTCTTATTTTTCCTAGCTGTTGGAGGTGTTTACCGCCCAGGTATAGTTTCTGGCCTAGCCTTGGCCTGGATTGTTGGACAAGTTCTTTATGCTTATGGTTGTTACACAAGAGAGCCCAGCAAGCGGAGTCGGGGAGCCCTGGGCTCCATAGCCCTCACTGGCCTGATGGGCACAATGGTGTGCTCTGCCTTCCAGCATCTTGGTTGGGTTAAAACTGGCTTGGGCAGTGGGTCCAAATGCTGCCATTGAAGAATTATAATGTGTTTAAAATCTTATTCATTTTGAATGATTTACTCTTATTTTCAGTTACGTTTTTCTTTTCTAAATATAGTAAAAGCTTGTGGCATTAGCCTCATGCCTAAAAAAAAGAAGCAATAGAGAATAGATTATGAAATGTTATTTTATACACACACACACTCTCTCTCTCTTTCTCTCTGAATTTAATTCTGTTTTGTGATTAAAGGGGAAAAAAACCAGGGAGGAATAAAATTAAGAGAATGTTACAGACTATGTTCTCCCGAAATATGTATGTTTAAATCCTAACCCCCAATGTGGTGATATTAGGAAGTGGGGCCTTTGGGAGATAATCAGGTTATATGGGTAGAGCACTCTTGAATGGAATCAAGTGCACTTATGAGAAGAGACATGAGAGTTCCCTCTGGCTCTCTGCTCTCCACCATATCAGGATAAAGTGAGAAGACGACCATCTGTGAACCAGGCCCTCTGGATGTCCCAACACCTTGATCTTGGACTTCCAGCCTCCAAAACTATGAGAAATAAATGTCTCTTATATAAGCTACCCAGTCTATGATAATTTGTCAAAGCAGCCCTAGCTAAGATAGAGATAGGATATAAAAAGAGAGGTCATGATCCTCAGAGTCCTGGGACTGAGCTCCCTGCTTCGTGGGGAGTCTGCTTCTTCCTCTCCCTCTGACCCTCCCCACGGCTCATGCTTGCTCTCTCTGTCTCTCTCAAATAAATAAATAAAATCTTTTTTAAAAATAGTAAAGACAGAACGAAGGCCTTACGTTCTGTGGCATGTTGATTAAGGGTAAGCTGTTCAGATCACACTTACTCATGGCCTGCAGGAAAAGTAGTTTCTTTTCAAAATACTCATCAGCTGGTTAACTACTACAACAATTCAGTCCTTACACATGGAAAAGCTTTCTTGAAATGGGGCTGATGTAAACATCCGTGTTTAACTGTGAATGGATCATGTTCTGTATGTAGTACAGTGGGGTCTCATTATGACCTGCCATGGGGGCAGAGGAGGGATGAGCCATCAGTTGTTCTGAGCAGTAACATCTCACGTAGAGTCACTTTTAGCTCATGAATTGGAGATTTCTACTTTTCATCTTGACCAAGATTTATAGGGCAATAATAAGTGCAGGAAATGTCAAGCCCATCTCTGAGGTAATAATTTCCAGTTTTTGTTCAAGATTTTCATTTCATAGTTTTAAAACATTGTTCTTAATATTAAATAAAATATTTTCACATGTAAAGTTAATGATAGCATTTATGTACTTAGGGCCCCTTCCCTCTCAGAGGATATCCCTGTCATTTTCTGTGAAGCAGTCAGTTGGTTTCACAGTTTTTCTGGATCTTTTTGGACATTCGTAGACATGTACTGAGTAGCAATAACTTCCCAACAATTGCCCCTGAAATAAGTTGGAATCAATTTCTAGCAACTATTACTCCTTCAATAATTCTTCAGATTCCTGAATTGGTACTAATTAGCTCTTAGCTGTTACCACAATAATATTGGATAATAGATTACCTAATCCCCAGGAGCATTCAGGAAGCATTTCTTCCTCACACATGGGTTAGGGCCAGTTGAAATTTTGATGATCTAAACTGCCCTCAGCAAGGTATGGCTTTAAGTTGAATATTTGATCTAAGTTGACTTCACCTTTATTTCATCTTTCTCAGACCAGAAGCTATCTAAGGCATTGTTTTTTCATGGTAAAAGGCAGAGTAAATGTGCCAAAGCCCAACCAGACAAGAATCTTTTAACCCTCTGCTTATGTACTTCTGCAAACATTGTACTGGTCAAAGCAAATCACATGAGTAAGTCTAACATCAATGAGGGGAAAAAAATATTCTTTCATTCTACTGGGAGGTTCTGCATAGTGACTTGGAATATGGGATAGCTGTGGAAAAAAGTGGGGAATTGGGAACAATAATGCAGTCTGCCACACTTCACCTTCTAGGTCACAATTACTCACATGACTTCCACACACAAAATACCTTAATTCTAATAATCTCTCTTCCCCAGATATCCTAGAATTCTCATTAATTTATGGAATCAAAGTCCAGGATTTTCTGATTTATGTCAGTTCTAGATGCAGCTTCTCCTGACCTGAAACCTTGTAAATTTAAGAGACAAGTTGTGTAATCCTCCCCCATGACAAACAATCTCCCAACACATAATTGTGAAATAGGGACAGGATAGCCACAGTGAACACTCCATTCAAAAAAAAGGTGACAGTGAGAGCCTCATTGCAGTCACTGGTCCATAGTAATTTTGAAATCTCACTGGATGAATGTTGTCAGATCTCCCTGTCCTAGAGAAAAGGAATATCCTTTCATTAGGTACTGATACTGCTCCCTGAGAATTAGCTAAATAGGGAATGAGGTTGTATCAACTCTTCTCTTGGTGAATGTATTCAGAAGCATCAAGATTTTTAAGACAAGGAAAGAAAAAACTTTCTTTTTTAATTCGTTTTTTACTTTTTTTTCTTCTTTAATCTTCTAGGACAGAATTACACAGGTTTCTAGATTTGTAGAGATCTCAATGACATGTATCCATATTCTTTCCTTTACTTTATGAAAAATTATTTAATTTTTGACTAGGTAATATATTTTAAAGATCCAAACATCAAAAAGTATACAAAGGTATAGAGTGAACCATTTACCTCTGAGTATATTCCCATTTTTTTTTACACAGAATTGTAATATACTGTAAGTATTATGCAATGTTTCTTTTTTCACTTAATGTATTATACAGATTTTCCCACATCAGTACAGAAAGAACTCTCTCATGATTTTTTAGAGCTGTGTATCATTTTATTTAATGGGTATACTATAGTTTTTAATTAGTCTCCCATCAAAAGACAGAGGAATCCAGCTCTTTGGCTATTACAGATAATGTTGCAATAAATAATCTTGTATGCCTGTCTTTGTGTACATTGGTTAGTATATTTGTAGGGCAAAAACCAAAAGTGGAAATGTTGAGTCAAAGGGTTTATGAGTATGTAATTTTAAAAGAAACTACCAAATTGTCTTTGATGGAATTCTAACAATTTTACTTCCATCAACAATATGGAGAGGGCCTCTTTTTCTTTGGCGTTGTCAATAGTATGTTAGCAAACTCTTGGAATTTAGCCAGTATCCTAAGTGAAAAATGAGGTTGCATTTCTTTTATTATGAATGAGAACTTACTTCATGTATTTAGGAGCTATTTGTATTTTTTAGAATTTATATTAACTGTTCTTAGACTGTGACCAAGTTTCATTGGGTTGCTAGATTTTGTCTTATTACTTTAAATAGAATTGGGTAAATGAGTATTTTATAGGAGCTACCTGTATACCAAGGAAACTAGTCCTCTTTAGGTTACTTGAATTGTAAATATTTTTCATATGTATTGACTTTCTTTATAGTTTTTTAAAAACTATTTAGAATTTTATTTTTCTTTAACATATGGCCTAATTTATCAATTTTTCTTTTATGGCTTCTAGATTTTGTGTAACAGAAAAGCCTTTCTCTACTTTAAAATTATAAAAAGAGTTCTCATATCCTTTATTCTAGTACTTTTACTATTTTTTATTACATTTAGTCTGATCCTTTGAAAAATTTTTTGGTGTATGTGTAAGATAGAGATTCAACTTTTTATCCTTATGGCTATCTGGTTTTCTCAATAACACTTACTGTATCCTCCATCTTTTCTCCATGAATATGAAATGCCACTTTTATCATATACCAAATTCTGGGTTTTTTAAGAGTCTATTTCTGAAGCTCAGAAATTTTTTTTCCTTAAACTCACATCTCTGTTCATGTAATAGTTCCATATTGGTTTCATTACTGAGGCCTTATGGTGTTTTATGTGGTGGAGTTACTCATTCCTCATTCTTGTTTCCTGAATTTTCCTGGGTGTTCTTGTTTATTTATTTTTCTATATAAACCTTAGCATAATTGTATTTCATTCTGGAAAATAAATATTGATTTCTTTTGGGGTGCCATTACAGTTACAAATTAGCTTTGAGAAGATGAATGTCTCTACAGTGAGGTTCCTATCCAAGAACATGGTAAGTGGTTCTATTTTTTCTGGTTGTCTTTTATGTCCTTTAGAAGCATTTTTAAAATCTTCTCCGTCTTCATAGATTTCTGATTAAGTGCTTTTCTTTCTGATGCTATGTATGACTCGGCATATGTGATGCTGAGAAGGAAGGACTTGTTAGCTCTTTTAATCCTAGCTCTACATTCAGATTCCTGCAGGACTAGAAGAAATAGATAATGTAGTAAAAAGGCATATGAAAATTTTAAGTGCAAATGAGGGGATAGGTGGGAAAGTGTAGCACATGTGGTGCTAACTAGCTTCTGTCATCCTGTCCAATGAAAGCCACCAGATTTGTCTGGCGCATACAGCATGGGAAAAGCACGATGTACCTAGAAGGGCCACAGAAGGTAGAACAGCTGTCATTTAGAAGTGAATCTAAGAATTTTTATCAATTAGACTTGGCTGTATGTAATAGCTATCCCAAATAATAGTAACTTTAAACTTAGATAGATGTTTGTTTTTCTCTCCTATACATGAGTTCTGGGTGTTGGCACTCTAGCCCCAGTGTGGTCATTTCATAATCAGTGATCCAGTCTCCTTGTTTCTTTTTCACCTACTATCTTTAGTGTGTGGTTTCTATCTTCAAGTTTGCCTCACGGTTCAAAATGGCTGAAGAAGCTCTCACCAAAATGTACATTTCAGGTGTGAAGACAGAGAAAGGAGGAGCAGGGCAAGAAGTACACCACCAAGCTAAGCCAACCCTCTTTTAAAGCCTCATTTTTTTTCCACTTCCCCCTCCTCATCTATACGAGGGGCTGCTCTCAAGAATATGGTAGTCTGCTACTAAGGAAGAAGGGGTAAATGAATTTCAGGAAAGGGACTTCACATCCCTACCCCAACAAGAACATTTTTTTTTTTCACTTTCTCCTCAAACTGCAGTGAGAAGGAGAAGGAAAAAAATCCCAAGGGGAAAATAGGAAAGTGAAAAAAGTGAGAGCAGTTTGATTATTTTGTACCCTTTAGGTTCATTTAAAACAACCCAGTGGTCAGCAAACTCTGAACTGGAAATCAGTGCTTTGGTCTT